CAGCAGGAACACTGAATATTGGCCATTTTGAGGACATCTGTGGTCCCCACACTGCCAGGACCATTGGGGTAATGCTGCAGATCACAGTCACACAGAATTGGAAGGGACCTCTGGAGATACCTCATCCAACCCCCCTGCTCCAGCAGCTCACCCCCAGCAGGGTGCCCAGGGTCACAGCCAGGAGGGTTTGGGATCTCTCCAGAGCAGGAGACTCCACAGCCTCTCTGGGCAGCTGCTCCAGGCTCCAACACCCTCACCCCAAAGAAGTTTCTCCTCCTGCTCAGGTGGCACCTCCTGGGTTCCAGTTGGTGCCCGTTGCCCCTTGGCCTGTGGCTGGGCACCACTGAGCAGAGTCTGGCCCCAGCCTCTTGCCCCCCAGGGCACTTGAGCTCTTGCTCAGCACTGCTCAGATCCCCTCTGAGGCTTCTCCTCTCCAGCTCAGCAGCCCCAGGGCTCTCAGCCTGGCCTGGGCACAGAGATGCTCCAGGCATCTCATCTTCCTAGCCCTGCACAGTACAAAGACTCACACCAAGTGTGCAACCACACGGATGCTTGTGCCTCAGGATGGAGCCTACCTACAACCATCTCCAGCAGGGATGGGACCACAGGCTCTGAAAGCAGAGCACGACACTGTACAAAAATGTAGAGGAAGAATGGAATCAGTACATCATTAACAGGAAAGGGAGGAGGGAAAAAGCAGGAGCTGGCTCTATTGCCCATCAGCAGATCCTCATCTGAAGAACTCCCCTCTGGAAACCTCCCCAGTGAGCAGAGACTGCCCACGGGTAGCAGCTGCTCTGGCTGCAGCAGGCAGGAGGATCTCCTCTCACCTTCCCTCCTCTGATCCACCTCAGGTCTTTCTGCCCAGCTTCCTGCCTCCCTCAGCCTCTCACCTTCACAGCAAACAGCATTAAATCACCTCAAATTAAAAACCTGGGCCCAAAGCACTCCTGACAGGAGCTCCTGCTTTCATCAGATAAGGAATGAATGCTGTGCCACGGCCTCTCAACACATTTTCTCATTTCTTTTGCAGGCATCTGGCTGATTTTAGTCTATCATTCATTATCTCAACCACCAACTATATTTGGACAATCCTCAGGAGAACGAGTCCGAGGGAACTTCCTCTCCACTTCCACGTGCACAGAAAGGCAACAAATGCCAACAGGCATGTTGTGATCCACTGATTAAATGGGAATACTCAGAGCACAATTCTGTATTTTCTCAGGCCAGCTCAGGCTCAATTTATTCATCCCTGCACTTCAAATTACCTTCCAAAGCAATGAATTCAGGAATATCAGCAGTATTTAATCTCCCAGATAAGGTTCTGCAATAAGGTGTCAGAGAAGCACCTTTCCCCTTGCCACTCAGCTCTCTGCTGGAATTTCCCATCCCAGTGACTGCAACAGCCTTTTCTCTACCTAAGGCAGCCTTGTCCCCATCTGTGATCTTCTCAGCCCTTTCCCTTGAGTCTGTCTGCTGGTAGGTTCTTCTTCAGAGCCTCAAAGATCACCCAAGTTGCCCTTGCTTTAGGAAAGAAGATGTTCATGCTCCAACTACTGACCTTCATCTTCATCCAAAAGACTGATGCTACTTCCAGTAAACGTACTAAAGGAATTTCCAAGTATTTTCAACTGGATTGCCTCCACGCTTGGAAGGAGCAACTCCAAGTCTCCAATGGCCCCTCATAAATCCTCCTCATTTATTTCTTTTGGGATCATAGAATCACAGGCTGGTTTGAGTTGGAAGGGACTTTTCAAGGTGCTCTAGTCCAAACCCCCTGCACTGAGCAGGGACATCTGCAAGGAGAACAGGCTACACACAGCCCAGGCCAAGCTCACCTGGGATGGTTCCAGGGATGGGGCTTCTACGACCTCTCTGGGCAGCTTCTTCCAGTGTTTCATCACCCTCAGTGACATTTTCTACTTCTCTCTGGTCTAAATTTCCCTCTTTTAGTTTCAAACCATCACCCCTTGTCCTGTCCCAACAGGCCCTGCTCAAAAGTCCCTCCCCAGCTTTCTTGTAGGCCCCCCTGAAGTACTGAGAGGCCACCAGAAGCAGCAACACCTTCCCTTCTATCTGCATATCACCTACCACACAGACTCTGGTTTAAAACTGGCCTCCACATGCTCCAACACTACAAAACTGACAGCAATTCAGAATAACATTGCAAAGTCTGAAGGCAAAACTCCAAATTTTACAAGTTTATTTCTCAATATTATTTGTATTAGTCCTTTGAGGAAGATTTTTTTCCCAGTTTAACTGGATCTTGCACAACAGAAAAAAGTTCCTCGTGCCAAGAAGTCCCAAAGCACTTTACAAACTTCAAATGCAATTTTTAACAGGGATCACCTAATCCTCAACTGAAATCCAGCCAAGTCCTCAGTGAAACATGGCAAGCCTTTTACCAAGCAGACAATTGAAACAATAATTGCACAACACATTAACCAAATGGAACAGAGGGTGGAATTTAGATAAGCAGAAATTTGTTGAAGACATGGGGATTAACACCATTTCTTTTCAAAACAGGATCATCAAACATTCAAATGACCACACTTTTCACTGTGGTCATTCAAAGTTTACAAAGGAGGGTGAAAAATCATCTTTATCTTCTGCAGTGCAAGTCAAAGAGTTTCATCAAGCAGCTCCCATAGCTTTGATTTGAAGACAGAAGGGTTTTGCATTGCTTGCAGGAAAGAAAAACTATGTTATCAGGATATAATTTCAGTTACAACAGCAGAGGGATGAGTCAAGAGTGAACAACATCAAAGCACAGGAAGATCTAAGGCACCACTTACGCTGACAAGTTCCTCCATTAGTAGGGTCCCCATAGTAGCCTGAGATGCAAGTTTCACAGTGTTTGCCAGTGGTCAGGTTCTCACACTTCTCACAGATGCTTTCATTTATACACTTACTGTGCCCATTGCACTGGCAGGCTGGGTGAAGAAAACAAAAAGGTGAGTAATTGTGCTTAAATGTTGCATTTCACCTCCAGTTTCAGAAGCCTGTGCTCTGCAGAGGCTGAACAAGCCCAACTCTCTCAGCCTGGACTCACAGCAGAGGGGGGCTCCAGACCTTGGGTCACCTTCCTGCTCCTCCTCTGGACTTGCTTGAGCAGGTCCATGTCTTTATTACACTGGGGGCCCCAGAGCTGAGCACAGTCCTCCAGGTGGGGCCTCACCAGAGCAGAGTGGAGGGGGGGAATGAACACTTGACATTTAAATCAACACATAGAAAACTGAACTCCAAAACATTATGTGTATATTGGGCAGACAGGACTTGGAGCAGCTGGTGGGATGGATTTGCAGGGAGTAATGGGGAAGAAAGGGTTTAGCAGCAGACCAGGTCACTTTATTTTATATGTTTGCTGTCAAAAATATTATTTCAGAATCTGGATTTATGACAGATAAATCCACCTTGAAAGAAGGAAGTGTCTTTCTTTCAAACAACCCTAAAATGTATAAACAAACAAAAGTTAAAAAGCTTGGTCAAGGTTTGTAAGGAAAGGAAATATTTCACTGGAGTAATGCCTGGGTAAGTCTTCCTGTAGCAAACCTCTGGAGACACTGCACAACTCCTTCCATCCTGATGTGTTACTCCTTGTTTGCCTTCCAAGCTCTTTCCTCCCCAATTTACAGGAGGGAACACAGACATCACCGTGGTCTTGATAAAAAAAATCTCTTCCCTTGCACTTAATCATTGCTACAGCCAAAACATCCCAGCAATTAACCCTCCCTCATTTACCTGGACACTGGATAAAGGACCAGTTGTAGTTGTTCTCCACAGGACACATGCTGACGTTGAGGACAGGCTCCAAGCTGGGTTTCCCTGGTGTGGATGGGGTTGGCATCTTCACAGGACCTCTGTAGGAGCCTTCAATGCACTTCCCCTTGCCTGTGTTGCTGGGGTCAGTGCACCAGCCACAGCCAGGCTGCTCCAAACAGTGAGCACACGTGCAGTAGCCTGAGCAGTTTTCAGCTGGAAAAATAAAAACAACCCAAAATCAACATCAAATTGTGGAATAAATCGACCTGCTGCACCCCAAAACACAGATGACACCCAACACAGAAACCCTTCTATGTCTTTGGTGACCTTCAGCATTTATCTTGCCAGATCTGTAAGTGTTTATTCTGATAGTCACAGTAAGACACACACAGATATTCATTTCTATCAGTATATATTCATTTCTATCAGTATATATTCATTTCTAAATATATATTCATTTCTATCAATATAAATAGATATTCATTTCTATCAGTATAAAAATATACTTATTTCTAAATATCTATTAATTTCTATCAGTATAAATATATATTCATTTCTAACAGTAAAAATATACATTCATTTCTATCAATATATTTATTCCAGACTCTTAAGATAACTAAGGTTGCATTAATCAGTGAGTTATGGATCAACACAACAGACATTTAAGGGTTTTCTGACCATTAAATACCACCCACTAAACCCAGAGGTTAATGCACCCAACTACAGCAGATCTCCAATTGATTTCCAGCAGCTCAGGTGATAAAAGGAGCAATCTGGAAGGAAACACCAAACCCCAGTTTGTTGACTCATTTCTTAACCATGTTTTAATATCACATGCTACTGTTGCAAATATTTATCTGAGTCAAAAAGCACAGAATATAAATACAGAACACAATTTGTCTTCTTAGGATGCTCAGAGACCCACGTGCAGATCCCCTGGGCCCAGAAATCAACTAAATCAGGGAAAAACCATCAACACCCCTTTAACTTTTTCCTTCTCAAGTGGGATTGCATTTCAGGGGTGACCAACTTAATATCTAGGAAGGTTTTCCTATTCCTTTCCCAATAGCATCTGAAAAAAACGATTGGTAGATTCTTGGTGTTCTAAGATGCACAGACTTTCTATCTTGACCTTCAAACTGACAATATTTGGTTAAAAATAAAAAAAAAGGGAGTAGAAAACCCACTGTTTTCCATTATTTCAGTTTGTGCATCTCCTGACTGATGCTTCCTGCAGCTCTTGACCTCATAAAAGTCCAAAAGCTCCTGCAGCAACTGCAGCAACTCAAACCACTCAACTTCCCTCCTGGGGACCACAGGCCACCCTGAGAGCCCTGGTTTCCCTGACTCCCCTGCTCACACCCAGCTCCTAAAGAATTAAATTGCTACAACTGTTTGACCCCCTTCTAAATTTCTAGACTATTTCATTGCAGTTTGAAAACAAAAAGCAACGTTCTGAAGCACTGCAAATATTTTGAGGCTTCACAGAATGGTTTAGAGGTTAGAAAGGACCTTTAAGATCATCTAGTTCCAACCCCCCTGCAATGGGTAGGGACTAGACCAGGTTGCTTCATGCCTGGTCCAACCTGGCTTTGAATATTTCCAGTTTTGGGGCACCTACAACCTCCCTGGTGACCCGTTTGAGGGTTTCACCTCCCTCACAGTGAAGAATTTCTTCCTTAGATCTCATCTAAATCTCCCCTCTTTCAATTTGAAGCCACTCCTCCTTCTCCTATCACTACAAGCCCTTGTAAAAAGTCCCTCCCCAGCCCCTTCAGATACTAAAAGGCTGCAGTAAGGTCTCACATCCAACTGAAAGGGGATAACAATAAATCATTTATTTAAAGTCAGTTAGAAATTCCTCCTGTGGGCTACACGCAGACAATGCTTCTGAATAAAACACTTGCATAAACCCTAATTGGCATTTGACACAGATAATCTACTATTAAATTATATGCTTCTATATAGGAATAAAAGAGACACAGAGGAGACACAAAAAGAAGTTAATCACGTGAAATTATGTCACAATTAATTTGAAGGATAGGAATTCAATGACGGAGCCTTCTCCGTCGAGAAAAGCTAAAGGGGTGATTTCACCACCTCCCTCAAAGCCTCCCCTGTCTGCCAGCTGCTTTAATGCCTAGTCCCCACAACCAACAGCTAATTTCTGCTTAATTCAAGAGTGACCCCCACACCTCGAGCTCCTGGGGTCGGGCGTTTTGATGCCTTCACCCAGGGGCACGCTCTGGAGCGGGACGACTTCCGTCAACAAACCCCCATTGAAGCTGAGATGTCCCCCCACCCCCAGCCCCAAGGGGTACTCACGGGGACAGCTGCTCATGGTGTACCACTCCATGCACTGCCCGTAGGGGAAGGAGGCCACGTAGGCGTTGGAGTCCACGCACTGCTTCATGTTGCTGCACCACATGCACTCCGAGCTGCCGCTGGTGCACTCCCCGCAGGCGGCCCGCAGGGCGCAGGGCGTGCGGCACTGCTTGGCGCTGTGGTTGGCTGGGGAAGGGGGACAAGGGGGACAAAGGTCAGAGTTTGGGTGGCCAAAAAACAGGTCACCAGCCCCGCCCAGTCCCCGAGGTGGAAAGATGGAAGATGGAAAGCTCTGTCTGCTCTTCAGGAGGAGAACTAGGCCAGTGGCTCAAGCGGCGTGTGGTGTGGTGGTGCTGGAGGGATCTTAGAGCATGGTGAAGATGAGGAGTGCACAGACTAGTATGAAAAGATTTATCTTGGAGCCTTTGAGGAGGCTCCAGAGTGATCTTGTAACAACCTTCCACTACCTGAGAGGGGCCTACAAGAAAGTTTTAAGCTAGAAAAGAGGAGATTTAGGTCAGACGTTAGGAGAAAGTTCTTCAATATTTGAAAGTTCTTCAATATTCAAACTGGCCCAGGCTGCCCAGAGAGGTGGTCACTGACCCATCCCTGGAACCATTCCAGGGGAGGTTGGCCGGGGCTCTGAGCAACCTGCTCGAGTTGCAGACGTCCCTAATCAGTGCAGGGGAGTTGGACAAGATGACCTTAAAAGGTCCCTTTTTGGACTAAATGACCTTGGGAGGTCCCTTCCAGCCCAGATAGTCTATGGTTCTGTGATCTTACTGAGAATTGGGCTCATGTCAGCTTCAAGAGGTTCAACAAGGCCAAGTGTAAGGA